TTGTGACTCTTTCAAAAGAATATGTCAGCATATACTGTACATATAAACAACTATTCCAGAGGTTTTGAGCATTACGACAAGGTTTTATGGCTGTATTAATGGAGCTGAAGTTGGCTGGACGACATGGACGAGGGGCTCTTGAGACTCATTGGTCCAAACCAAATTTAAAAAAACAATCCTGAATATTGAATCTTGATCTTAGACGACACTGAAAGTACATCACTAGGCACTTTGTGTGCAAGGCAGAGGGCTAATATGACACAGCAGGCTGCATTTGGCACGTGTCTTCTTTACATGCCGTGTTTAGTCTATATTTACTGTCTCTGATGCTTGTTTGGCGATGCATAGTGACATTATAGATTATAAACTTCAACGGTTCAACTGGTAAACTATACGAGATGCCAACAGAACCACTATATGTTAAAACGACATGCTGATCCTAATGAGGACTACTGTGGACGAGTAGAGCATACATAAAGTGTGGGCTACATACAGCTGAAGCACATAACTTTCAATATCAATTTCTGCTGTTTTTAAAAGAGATGTCAGGGATAATGTTGTGGAGAAGATTAAAGCAGTGTAAGTTATACAAAGATAGAGCACTGTTCAATATTTGTTTCAAAAATGGAAAATATATGACACCACTGCATACCTACCAAGACATGGGCTTCTACCTAACCTATCATGCAAAGAAGGAGAGCACTCATCAGAAATGCAGCCATGTGCCATACTCTAGAGGAGCAGCAACTTCTGCGGCTGGGTCAACTATACTCTTCACAAATCAAACCTGTTTGGATGAGTGGCAGGAAGAAATACTTATTTCTTATAAGCCGTAAAAAATTCTGTAATCACTATGTTTGCAGTCGTAACATGATCAAATGTGGAAAATATACTATTGATACAGTATAAAAACTATACTGAAATGATTTAAGGAAACTGTGTTCATAATATGGATTCTCATAATGCGATCTGTGTGTGCGCGTGTGCGTCTGTGTGTGTGTGTGTGTGTGTGTGTGTGTGTGTGTGTGTGTGTGTGTGTGTGTGTGTGTGTGTGTGTGTGTGTGTGTGTGTGTGTGTGTCTGTCTGTCTGTGTGTGTCTGTGCTTGTCCGGTGAGGTTTGAGATGTTTGAGACAAAGGTCAGTGTGCGTGTCTCTTTGAATCGTGCTCATGGGGTCACAGCTCTCCGGTGGATTATTCATTATTACAGAGAAAGAGCTGCGAACGCTTGGATGGTGCCTGGAGTGGAGCGTGGAAAGTCATATAAGCTCATTAAAACAGCCATTTGAGCTCCTATGCAGTAATTGTAAAGATGTTGCGGTTGGTTATGAAACAAAAATGTTCCTAAATAAGGATCAGTTATGGATTCATTGTTTATAGTTAACAAGTAGTTTATGGATGCACTGGAAATTATGACTTGGCTTTGCTGAGAAGAACCTAAACATTAGGGAGGTTTAAGGTGAGGCACATGGACAAGTTTGACTCTGGTGGCAGTAGAGTGTGAGTGCTTTTATGTGAACGAATTATGACAGTTTAAATAGAGAAAATGTTCTTGTAATTGGTGTTTCTATCAAGACTGAATCAGAATCAGAATCAGAATCAGAATCATTTTTATTGCCACGTGAGTAACAAAGTTATCACTTGGAAATTGTCTTGGCAGAGAGCGTGCCACTTCGCCATTTGCGGCGCTGTGTGCAGCAAGAAACAGCAGAGAGCAATAACATTCAGGTAACAACAGACAGTTGGATAGAAAACATTGTGCTTTGTATAAACCACGGATTTTTTTCACGGGATGAGCACCTCCGGCCTGCCGGTCCAATGTGGCTGTCAGAGGGGGGCGGGGTCAGGGAGGGGGAGAGTCGGAAACACAGTAAGGAGGGGAGGGGAGGGAGAGATCAGAGGGAGGCGGGGGGAGCGGGATCCAAACTGGAAGACTGAAAGAGTGTGAAATTTTTGTAGAGACCAGATTTATTATGATGGCCTTGGCCCGAGGAATGTGAGATAAGAGAGGAGGGAAGACACAATAGGGAGAGAACACATCTCCTGTAACGAGGGACAATATTGTATGCAGTTTAGCAGTCAAAAACAGGCAGATATTCTATTAAATCCAATTAGACCAAATTACAGCGCCCTCAGACCCCGTACACAGGGGCAAATCCAAGCCGGGTCAGAGAGTTCAGGCCTGGCAGACAATGTCATTCAATCTCAATTCCAGAGTCTTATGACCATCAAGTGAACGAGCTGCGAGATCTTTGATCAACTGTTCCACTAACACCACTCTTCGTTGTCCAGCCACAGCGCTCTCAACCACGACTCGGTTAAGCTCCTTGTACATCCCATCAATTTTTTCGGCCAGCAGGTCGTGAATCTTGCGAACTGCCATGCCTCCGAATTTGTGGTAGAAGAGAACCGCTCCAAACCCAAACAGGAGGATCCCCACCACCAAAATGCCAAAGATATATACGTCTTCCGAATCTTCAATGGACAGGGTCGACAGACAGAGGGGCTGAAACTTGTTCCAGCTGTCAAGCGTATACCCCGCTGGTGAAGTCCCGTCCGGGCACACGGGCTCTCCAGACCCGCGCTTACGTGTTGAAAAGATAGAATCAATTGCGTTGAGGGACCAGTTAATCATTTCCATTCTGTTAAAGTTGTCTGTGGCAAAACTCCAGGAAAAAAAGACAAAAAAGAACGGTGCTATTGTTACTAAGCAACAAGTGAACATCTCAATCATCTGCATCATTTGGATAAACACTAGAATGTTCCACAAGAATGTTCATATGGCCGCCTTAAATCAAACACAGAGTCCAGATAAACATTCATTTTTACCATCCAGCACACAAACAAATAAAAGCATTCCGGGACCAAAATACTGTGTGAGCCGTGTGGGATGTTTGCTCAAGGGCACAGGGGAATATGATGGCATTCAGACCCAATTTTCCCATGATTCACAGCTTTTGGCAATGGTCAGTGCTCCAGCAGCGGGCGGGTGTATGGGGTCAGAGATACAAGATCTGTGGATGTGATGTCCATAAATACAGCTGTATGAAAAGGTTTGGGCACCCCTAACAATTGTTATTAATTAATTTCTGGAAAAAGGAGAATGTATAAAATATTGAGTTGATTTATTTTTTGGTGTGCCTACTACAATAATGAACATGCCTAATTTTGTCTAAATAATTATTGCACACTTTCTGTAAATTTTACAAACTTTATTTCACTTCTCAAATATCACTGTGTTTGTCGCCTATATGAGATATTTAACTGAAATGTCTTCTCCAAACAACCGATGATTTATAAAGGAAAATCATAACAATTGTCAGGGGAGCCCAATTGTTTTCATACCAATGGTTTCATGAAATTCACTCACAGTTAACTTAAAAAGAGAAGAAAAAAAACGTAATGATCAAATTCCTAAACTAAAAAGAAGTTTCTCACTAAATCCTTGTGGTATTATAGCTCTTTGTTATTGTGCATGTTAAATGTTCTGTGGTCAGGGTCCCTTTAGTGCATCAGCACAGGAGCAGAGACTGTGGATGTCTCTGATCTCTGTCCAGGGGTCGGTGTGATCAGGGCAGACTTCCTCCGCACTCTGTCCTAATCACACACTGCCCTACACTGGCTTCATGTCTGTGCTCTTGCTCGCCCACTCACGCCGCTCAGTCCTGGGGAATACGCTCCTAATTGGCTCCGCTCTGATCCTCAGTCTGTCTTATAGTAATGGATGCAGTGGTTTTGTTTTAAAAAGAGGGAACACTGTTGGGTTGTTCACGTTGCCATCGTGGATGAAGTGGTTAGTGCCCACGATGCTTCAGGACTGTGACAGCTGTGCACACACTACCTTTCTTATCTCCGCAGCTCTGCTATCTCTCACTTCTGCTCTTAGCAGCCTGTAATTAGGAAACCACCTACTCCCAGCCTCAGTGTGTGCGCGAAAGAGAATGTTGGCAGAGAAGGTGGGTGAACGACATTTTAAATTATTTCTCAAATTATTTCTTCTCCTTTGTAAAAACGATGTGTGGGAAAGTGTGTAAGACATGATCAGGTGCTGGTAGTTAGATGTGAATAGTGGCTTTGGTCTCAGAATGTCGGATTGTTCAAAAGAAGATTCTTGACTCAACTTAAATGCACAGCATTTAATGCAAATAAAGAATTCACAAACACATTTAGCACCAAATGTGCGACAAATACCACAAAACCAATTACTCTTGAGGTCCTCACAGTGTGCGTCAGACAACAACGTCTGATTCTACAACCACAACAACTCCTAGGTCCACAGTACATTCATTTAAGCAGCTACATCCTTGACTTATTCCACAGAGGAAATTATTCTCCTGAATATCCATTGATCATTTTAGTCTGTGTCTATTCCAATCCAGTGTAAACTTTAGAAGTCACTGTACTGTACCACTGTATACTGTCGCCAAAGTACAGAAAACTTTTGTCTTCTGCAGTGACTCATTAACTCACTGAAAATGAAGAGGAGACAAATTCAAATGCTACAACCACTGAGTACCAGTACAGGTAGATTATCAAAATTACCAGTACCATACCACATTCAAATATAAATCCTACACAATATAGAACATTAGACTCCACAGATTTGTCACAAACTGAGAAAACTGTCTGCAACTATACGTTTGTTCACCCAGGCTCTTTTGAGAGACTGAAACAATGTTTTAGAATCATTTCTCTGGATTTCCCCCATATTTTATTTAAATATATAATGGTATTAACATTGAAAAATATGTTAATATCTTGATTTCATTTAAACCTTAATACTATTTTAAATATGACATACAAAATTATCTAATATAATATATTTAACTCTTACTGACTAAAGTACATCAAGTGACAATTTGGAGGCTGTATTCAAACTACATATAAAATTAGATTCTTAAATGTAAATCTTTTTACACATGTATAAAACTGTCGACTAACCCATGTTTTTGAAAGAGTTACAGCTGCACTGTGATTGGTTAAGACCACATGTTCAGTGCTGTCATTGGTCGGTGGGCTTGTCGGTTTGGACACAGGTGACGGTGTTGTAGCTCCGGCTGGTGTTGTGAGACGCGTTCAGCGGACTCCTCTTCAGCAGCCGGTTGAGCAGAGCGTTGCATGTCTTCCTGTACTGAAGGCGCAGCAGTGAGTAGACAAACGGATCAGTGGCTGCTTTGCTGTAGGCCAAGCATTTGGACAGCACACCCCAGTGAGGGTTGAGGGGCCATGGGCAGAACAGTTCCACAATCCTACCACAGAGAAAAAGACAAGACAAGCCCAAGTCACACCTGCACAATCATGGATGAGTGCAACAAGTGGAGTGGAAATCAAAGCGGCTATAACGCAGAGTAAATGTCATGCTGTAAAATGTCAGCTCTCATGGGAAAACATAGGAGGAACAGCTTTATAGATCACAATACTTAATTACTTTCATTATATCTCTTTTATATTTAAATATAACACACGGGTGAGTACTTGAATGGTGGAGATGTGAGCTGCATCTGTTTGCCTCAGTCAGAGATACAGTTACTGGAATGAGGGTTGTTTTCTAGTTGGGATTGACTTGGCAAAGGGAGCTCCAAAGAGAATACCATTATATATTTTGATCTAATATCTATCATTAATCCTTTTACATGGACAGAATGTGGACACAAGCACCATACGGATGGAAAGGCTATAGATCCAGGACTGTAAAACGAGGATGGAGGTCATGTGGAACAGGACTGAGGCGGCTTCCGGATGGGGGAGCTATTGTTACCAATACAATTTAACTTTCAGCTACAAAAAAAAAAAATCATAAATAAGAAGCTCAACGAAAACATACTTGGAAGCCTCTTTACAGCCACATCCCTTGTTAAGCTCTGTCGATGGCACATGTGGATTATAAGTGTCATTAAAAAATGTATTCTCATAGATTGGAAAAGAAAAATGTAAAATTTCTTGTGGACTTGTGGACACTTTCTCCGATCTGTGCTCCATTCTTTAACAATCCCAGACCACCAACAGATGCATTTGAAGTTGTTACAAATGATGTGTCGTAGCATTTTCTCCATGAAGTGCAGGCCAGATTTGACCTGCACTTAAAGCTGCACTAACTGACTTTGTGATTTCTAAGCAGCTGTTTCAAAAGTAAGCGCTGGCCTCGCTCTTTCTCCTCCCCTCCCCGCACCCACGAAGCTATCGCCCCCCACTACCCCACACCCACTGTTGTTTACAGAGCTAGCGTCTCACAACATGGATCGCACATTTGAACGTGGATGGCGTGATCATAGAATGATAGAACCGGGAAGCGCGGAGGACGAGACTTTCAGGTTAGCCTCCGCCGCTTGTTTACCTCAGCTGTCTGTGCTAACAAGAGACCTGTAGCTTTTCTCAAGAAATCACAGTCCAGCACAAATCAGCGCTACTTATTCTTCAAAAGGACGTATATCCCAATGCACTGCATGGATATTGATTGAATTTTGAATACAAAAATAAAGTGAGGTAATGCAGCTTTAATGCCATGGTGGAGTTACTGTGACCTTTTTCCACTTGGTCTAGGTATGTCTAGGAGGCCCTTATGTCGTGCCCGGTCCTCTATCTGAATAGCTTCACTCGGTTTGGACTTATACTGTAACAGGACAAAACAAAGAGTTCTCTAGGCAAGGCTTTGTGACCAGATAGGTGTGAGCCCTCTGACTCACTGTCTCACCATCAGAGGGTGCTGACGTGTGTGGGCATTGTGCATTGTGTCTTGCAAAGGAATCCAAAGTCATCCGTACCTCGCATTCCTGTTTCTGAGCAGAGACTGTCAGGGGTCTGCTTTGGATCTGTTGGAGGGGTTGGTACAGCTCACTAGTGGAGACAAGCACAAACTGCACCAAACCTCATATGTGCCTTTTGAGTGCCACTTGGTTAGAGTTTGGTTTACTTAAAGCAAACAAAGGCTGGGGGTTGCCATTGGCCTGTGGGGCGGACTTTGGTTGTGCCTGAAAAATTAGGCTATAGGACTTCCCTGAAAAAGATTCTGAATCTCAATCCGACAAAAAATAAAATAAAAAGTTAACTATGGCAAATATACAGAATATCAGGCAAAGAATATGACCAAAAAAAATAGTGTAGAGATCCTTTTCTGAACAAAAAAAGTTATTCTTAACCCAAAATACAATGGACATGATTTTCCATTGGAATATCCACTCAGAGAGAAGAATCAGGCTCTCATTTGAGTGGCCAATTAGTTAGTTGAAATGTAGCTGGTTTTGGCTCCATCATTTTTTGCTTAAACAAACAGAATGAGTGGGAGCAACTGTCAGGGGTGAACTTTAGAAAATGCAATGTTATTATGCTGTGCCATCTTTATATGTGGGCCCTCACCTTGTAACCACATATGGAGTGAAGCAGACCACAAACGTGCCGATGAAGGTACTGATCTTCTTGCTGGCCCTCTGCCTCCTGCGTTTCTGCTCATCCAAACACTGCTGTCTGACGCTGCACACAGAGACAGGAGCATCACTTACACATGACCTGACTGGGTCACTATCTCTCATTACTGCACTAATGAAAGGGTTTATGCACGACAGACCTCACAACATGGAGGGCTGAACAATCACATGCAGGAGTCAACCTACACCGCTCACAGAATACAGAGTCCTTTCATGGATACTGCTAGCTGACATGGCGGGGGTGGAGCTGAATAATTCTTTCTATTTATACTCAGCATATCTAAGTATACAAATACTCTAAATTAATGTGAAGGCATGTATGTTGTACAACAATATATTTTTTAAAAACCTTCAGCATAAATATTACAGTTGGTAAGTTTCTCCCAATGTATCCTTACTACACTTCTGAAATACAAAGCTGGAGTTACCTCGGGTGGATGTCCACAAGCAGTACCAGTGTCTGCATGGTGATCACATCAATGCGCTTACAGTGGAAGCGGGCCACTTTGAGCACCTTCATGTAGGTTACGCACAGCACCACCAGGGTGAGCAGGTAGCTGAGTGCGTGGAGGAGGACCGTGAAGACCACATACTGCGCTCCTGACGCTTTGCCTCGGGAGTTACACATAGTGCATGATGCGTAAAGGTGATGGTACCCAAGCCACGAGCGCCAGCTGGCCACAGCAGAGAAACACAGGGAGTGGATCCACGTGTATCCCAGCGCTATAACAGCGTCCCGGTGCCGGATCCTGGAATGATAACTTAACGGGAACACCACAGCCACCCAGCGGTCTATACTGAGTGCCGCCATACTCAGCATTGAGTTAGTGGTTAGAAAAGTGTCTAAGAAGCCCACCAGCTGGCACAGCACACTGCCTCCGGGATGTCCGGGAGTGACCAGTCCCACTGCTGTCAGCGGCATGCTGGACACGCTGAGCAACAGGTTACAGGACGTCAGGTTCAGTATGAAGAGCGCAGGCACATGCTTACGGATTTCAGGGTTGTACAAAAAGCAGATCAGCACCACGACGTTGGACAGCAGTGACACCACGATGATCCCGAACAGGAACAGGGCACACGCTATGTCCGCCGTATGCATGTTGGGGCCGCTCAGTCAGCCTCTGTTCTCATGCTCCCCAAGACTCCGAACCTCCGCAGTCCCTCCTGAAGCCTCCATCTGCTCGGCTCTCTCCACACAGGGCGCACTTACAAACTTGTGTTTTCACGCTGAAGCGGAGGTTTCCCATCAGCTCGAGGATCGTCATCCTGTCAGGAGCTGCTGCTGCACTCAGCACTCTCCCGTCACTGCACCCAGAGCCTGCTTTCTGTGTCTCTGTGTCTCTGTGCTGCGCAAGTGCGCACTGAGAGAGGGCTTTCCAAAACTAAAGTTCAAACATGAGAGACCACGGTGCTCTATGCTCGTAATGTTCCATGCTCCTCTTTGACAGAGATTTAGAAGACGGAAGAACCCTTGCGCAGAGATAGAGATTAGGAGTAAAAATAGACACACACGCACATGTGTGCTATGATTGTAAAACTGATGTCATGTCCGTCGTGACGAGTTGCTGCAGTTGGACTAGGCTAATATACAACCACGGTACGGTTTTTAGGTCTTTTATATCCTATACAGCAATGTTTACAGGGTCAAACCGTTATGCATCTTACCAAACCTAGAACTGAGATATGGTATGGCTCTTTACCCATTTACCTTGTCCTATAAGACAGACATTGATAGATACACTTTCTTTTTTAGAGGAACAGATGAAACTGTGATCTGATGAACTTTCTCTGTTAGAATATTTGAAAGCATTTGTTTAATAGCAAACAAAGCAAATAGTTCGTATGCAAATACAAAGAAGAAAGCGTGTCAGGTTTGTGAGGAAGTAAGTCCTACAAGTTTTACTTTTTCAGTGCAATAAAAACATTCAAAGTGAAAAACTTGGCATAGTGTGTTGCTCTGAGCGCCTCGAGTCTGAGCTGCTGTGAATGTGGCCCATGACCTCCACCATGCTGACGCTGAGAGCAGGTCTGTTTAGCCAACAGCACGCGCACATGCGCATGTGCGGATAGTGTGTTTGTATGTGGGTGCCTGTGTGTGCGTGTGCGTGTATCTCCATGTGTGTTTATGAGTGCGTGTGTGTGCGTGTGTTCTGTTATTAGTGCATCTGTGCATAAGAGACAGCCCGCAGAGGACACTGGTTACAAGATCATGTAGACTCCTTTTCCTCCCTTTTGAGTTGCAGATATGTTTGACCTCGATAATAGGCTTGTGCGACCTAAATAATAATAAACAATCCCAATTGGGCAATTACAACCTCAATTAAGTGAGCTTGGGGCATGAAGAAAACTGTTTGAAGGCATTTGCTACATTGATGTGAAGATATAGGTGAATTGTTGAGTAGGCATTTCACGACACCCAAAGACGTGGCATTATTATTATCTACTACAGTAGAGCCATAGTCTGCCATAGCTGTTCTACCTCCAACCACCACCAATCTTTCACGCAAACTCCATAGTCATACAAAGTGGTCTGAAGTAACACTTCCACAGAAGACATGACACTGTGACACCTGGTGCTCTCATCAGTCTTCCTTTGCAGTACTAACCAGGCCATGCACTGCTTAGCTTCTGATATCTTATGGAATCAGGTTTTCACATGCCACTGCCAGGTTATTGTCTATCTTTCAATTCTACCATGAAGTAGTAAATAGTATTAGCTATTGTTGTGTGAAATAAGTTTGTTTTGAGACAGAAAATGGTTGAATGTTCTATGTGCTGTGTTCACTGTTACCCATGGCTCACTGTGTAAATAGCCATGGACCCACCCAACAATGAGCCAGCCCAATTAAAATATACTTGTTTGCAATAGCTGAAATGTGAGGCCACATAAGAGAGTGGCATTTAATGAATCTGTGAAAGCAAAACTACTGCAGTTGGTAGTGGATAGTTGGCTGGTGAAAATCAAACCAGAGATTGTGAATAGAATGGACTATGTTTCATGGTGTGATTGTACTGTAATTGTACTTTTATTTGGCTCATCAACATGTTTTTCTGATGCAGTGAATGGCTCCAATCCTGTGCTCCACCAGTTCGGAACGGACCCCGGTGTGCAAAAGTCATTTACATTGGGTCTAGCCCTCCCTCATGCAGAGATTTGAGTCCTCAGAGATAAGGGTGCCTCAGAGGGTCTTTTTAAAAGACTGGATTCACCACATCAGTCTTGTAGCTCAACTCAAACTAGACTCATTTACCACTGTCACACGCCACCATACATCAACTAACACTCAGATATCAATTAACATGCTCCAAAATGACTCATTTGGCCAAATCCATTTATTTCAGATTAGTTCCTAGTCCAAAATTAAACAGCAAAGATTTTGATCTATCGAGATTAATTTGAAATGATTTCTCCTCTATCCAGTTGAGAGAACAAGAGTTCATTAGCAGTAGAGGTGTGGTCTGTGGCCATTTGGCAACCTCATCAATTATCTCAGATGACAAATTGCAAATAGTTAATGTAGAAAGTTTTTAATTAATTTCATGGATGGATTTTCTCACCTTTTACATGGACGAAATGAAACATTTGTTACTTTCTATGAGATCATAAATCTGGGATAGGTTCAGCTGATTTGGAAATGTTTTTTCTAGACCAATTTGTGCAAAAGTATTTGTTCACAGCAGAGAAGCACACTGTAGAACTTTACATCTACTTAATTAAATGAACACTTCATTAGGACACGGTCCACTTAGCAAAGTGGACTCTGTGCAGTGCGTGCACTTGTGCTCGATGCACCTATGGTGGATCTCACAGTAAAAGTGGACTTCTAATGATCAAGACAAGCAACTGACTGACGGAATAACCAATGTGCACCATCGTCTGTCAGTCGGACCATCATCAGAATCATACATTCAATGCAAAATACCTTAATATTAATTCACAAGCTGTGATTTTAATGTGTAATTTGACATGTTAATAATTGTAAGGAGTAGAACACACTTGTGATGATAAACTAATACGTATCTGGATCGGAGGTTATTCTCAGCCTATGAGTCTAAGCACCATCAAGAGAGACCTCTTCATCTATTTCACATCAACATTTGCTGAAGTGATGCACTTGCTCACGTCTGGTGCCGTATTTAAGCCCTTATCAATGCATGTCCTGAATCCCAAAACATTCTGTGACCAGCTTGAATGCTTGATGCATTCATTTTGTTGTCCTCAAAAGACAAATGATTCATGGGGCATTTTTTCAGTGAGTAAGTGCATAGAGCCTGCATACATTTGTTATCAGGAAAATGCCTCCAGAAAAAAAGTACTTCTCTTATACTGGCAAACTAACTGACTCATTTTTGCATTTGGCCCTAGGAGTGGTCTAAATGTGAGATCACAATCATTAGCAGTACAAAGTTTTCTGCTCTTGTTTGTTTGTGTGTGTGCGTGTACATGTGTATGTTTGTGTGTGTGTGTGTATATAACCTTTGCATGAGTTATATGTTTCCTGTATACCTATATGTAGGTATATGAAAGCTTAGAGAGAGATAACCGTCTGCGGAGGGGGAAAGGTGTGTGTTTAATAGGAAAGCTTTGATATATATATAATCAAAGAATATACAGTCCATAAGAAACACCCTAATATTCAAAGCTTCCAACTACATGTTGTAACATACAGAGAACATGTTCCTCCTCATAAGATTTGTTGATTGGTAGCTGACTTGAACTTGGTCCATAAATTTCAATATATTAAAACCCAGTACTTCACGGCCCTAAGCCTAGGCCTAAGCCTCAAGGAACAAACTCCTTAGGAAAATACAAAAAGATACGCTAATTGTCAGACAGGAAAGAACAATCTTAATGTCTGATGTCTGGATGTGAAATGTGCACTTGGCTGGCCTCCAATCGACTGTGAGGAGTGTTTCATGATGTGGAGGCGTGACATTGGCGACATGACAGCTCCACTTGCCCCAGTGTTTGACTGCTCTGCTTTACATGATGCCGTCTCTCATTCCCTCAAAATAAGATAAGATATACTTTATTGATCTCACAAAGGAGAAATACACCAGTTGCAGTTGTTGCTTGCTTTTGTGCCCACTTTAAATCAACTAATTAAAAATCATCCATTGACCAAACATTTACCCAATAAAAAAAAAGCAGTTTTGGGTATTATTAATATCCATCCGGTCTTTCTTTCACTCCAGATCAGAGGCAGTGTTTTCCAGGTCACATAATTGGATGTATCTAGCTGTGTGGTGATTCTTTGAGGCGTTTGGGGTTCTTAATAATCGTACTGGTCCATCTGCCTTGATGTCCTTTCAGTGGTAATGAGTGTGACTGCAGCATACAGCGTGGCAATATAAGAAGTGGCAGCAGTCTTTAAAATGCGGCTCGCCTGGGTCAGAATGGAACACATGTCCAGACCTTCCTATACAACTGTCAATTAGGCTTGTTTTCCTACCTGTGTTTCTATGGGACAGGAGCGCACTGCAGAAGACGTATAGCAAATAGAGGCTGTTGACTTGTGACCTTCAAAAGTTTGGTCTGCAGCTTGTTAAGTACTGTGAGTCCATCTGTAATAGAACAGACTAGAATAGAAATGTACAACTTATCCAAGGTTACAGGCTATTATGATTGCCAGTACTAATATTGGTTTTTCAATCACAAAGTTTTCAATTACTTGTGTGATTTTATTTTCTATGTTTTTAGTATCTCTTTCTTTGTTTTTAATTGTATTTTTAAATCTTATTTTTAAAAATAAAATTTATTTTTTAAATTAGATTTAAAAAAAATATAAATATATATATATTTTTATGTAGCTTCTACTGTTTATGATTTATGTTTGATGTGATATGGGTTGTGAGGCGCTTTGTATTGCCTTGTGTAGGCGCTTTACAAATAAAAGTCGATTGATTACTTTGTGCTCCATGTATTCTTTATATTACCAATGTCTAATCAGCTAATTGATAAAGGTTATAATTAGGGCTATCAAACGCAAAGTCGCAAAAGTGAGGAAGAGAAGAGGGAACTAAAGCGAAAAAATTATCAAAGAAGAAATCAATCCCGGGTGAACATAGGTAGCTTACATCGTGTCCTCTGGAGAGACC